ATGTTTTAAAACTAGAAATTAGCAGCAAGTATCTACTTCAATATTATGTTATATTAATATGTTATCACTATCACCTTTTAAATATTGCAACTGTAATTTGCTAGTATAATATTTTCACACAAATCTTTGGCAATGATGGTAGTGGACCACTGGTGATACATAAGCATTGTTCACTAAGGTTGTTATCAAAGGGAGTAAAAGTGTAAGTGTCTTTTCCAGAAACCATAGCTCTTTGTTTCTATGATTGGGGGATTTCAGTTCTTAGGTAAAAGATAATTAGATGGAACACACAGGCTTCCGTGTCAGCAGGAACTTGATGTAGGGAGTCCTTTAATATGACAAAACAAGTAGAGACAGCTTATGTTTTTAGGGAAGTGTGGTTACTCCCCTGATTTCCCCAATTTATAGTATTTCTAAGCACTTCAGACTGGTTTCCTTCTTCCCATGGTAGAAGAGGATATTGCCAAGGAAAAAAAGGGGAGATGCCAGGTGGGGTAGCTCACGCCTATAATTCCAGCACTTTGAGAGGCCGAGGTGGGTGGACCACTTGAGGCCAGGAGTTTGAGACCAGCCTGGTCAACGTGATAAAACCCTGTCTCTCCTAAAAATACAAAAAATTAGCTGGGCATGGTGACACGTGCTTATAATCCCAGCTACTCGGGAGGCTGAGGCAGGAGAATTGCTTAAACCCAGGAGGCCGAGGTTGCAGTGAGCCAAGATGGCACCACTGCACTCCAGACCAGGCGACAGAGTGAGACTCTGTCTCAAAAATAAAAAGGGAGAAAGTCTTCGTTCTTGACCAAATAGCGATTTGCTTGCTGTCAGTGTTATTTTGGTAAAGAAATTCGTAGATGCTTATAAGCCACAGTTCTGTTTTTAAATTGACAAAATTGAACATCACACCTTGTTAAAAGCAGTCTTTAACACGTTACCTTTCATTATTGTTAGAAGACGTCATTATTTCTGAGCATCATTATAAATAGCTCACAATTTTTAGTTGTTTGAATTTTGAGGTAATTTAGCTTTTAAAGTACAGTTTTTGTTTGTTTTAAGGAAGTTTTTCGTGCACCAGAGATACATGATCAGGTTTTGTCTCTTTCTCTTTGCAACATTTTTAAAAGAGGATAAAGTAGAACCTAATTTTAAGTAAATTTTTTCAATTAGCTGTTAAATTTTATACTGATTTTTTAAGACTTTCAGAAGAAAATTTTTGGTAAAATAAGTTAATTTTTGTGTAATTTAAAAATTTTAATGTTTCTTTAAGGATCATCTTTTAAAGAAATCTTTAGAACTTTAAAGTTATAATGAAATCCAAGTGGAGATTTAATATTTGCTTATTAAGTCACTTTATCTCTTTGTTCTTTTCTTGTATTTTACAACACAATTATATTTGAAAGTTAAACTTTTTTAAAAAGTAAATTTGATTTTGAAGGAAATACACACACACGCACAATCTTAGGGCCATAAGGTATTCAAAAGTCTAATGTATCATAAATATACATGAAATGTTGCACATATTTAAAATAGAAACATTGGTAACATTTTGACATATGTACACATTAGTGAAACTATAACCACAATTACAGACAAGAGTTGCCTTGTGACTTCTTTTAATCTCCTCCCTGTCTTCACATCCCTTCCCAGGTAACTACTGATCTGCTTTTTGTCACTTTAAATTAGTTTGAATTTTCTATAATGTTAAACAATGGAAAAATATAGTATGTATGCTTTTTCTGTCTGGCTTCTTTCAGCATAATTATTTTAAGATTTGTTCTTGTTGTATGTTTTAATAGTTCAATTTTTGGCTAACTACAATTCTGTGTATGGATATACTATAATTTGCTTATCCATGCAACAATTGATGGACATTCAGGTTGTTTTCAGTTTTGGGCTGTTACAAATAAAGCTGCTATGAATATTGTATAAATCTTACAAGATATATGTTTTTATTTCTCTTGCATGAATACCAAGGAGTGGAATGGTTGGGCCACATGGTAGGTGTGACTCACCATGGTAGGTATATATGCTTTTTTTGTATGTGTGACGGAGTCTCGCTCTGTCACCCAGGCTGAAGTACAGTGGTGTGATCTTGGCTCACGGCAGCCTCCGCTTCCCGGGTTCACGCCATTCTCCTGCCTCAGCCTCCCAAGTAACTGGGACTACAGGCGCCCGCCACCACACCCAGCTAATTTTTTGGTATTTTTTTAGTAGAGACGGGGTTTTGCTGTGTTAGCCAGGACGGTCTCAATCTCTGGACCTTGTGATCCACCCACCTCGGCCTACCAAAGTGCTGGGATTACAGGCATGAGCCACTGCGCTTAGTCAATATCTTCATATTTGTTATTTGTTTATTTTTAGTGAAGTGTTTTTTAAGATCTCCCCACCACCTGCCTTTTTTTATTGGCTTGTTTTCTTATTACTGACTTTTGTAAGACTATGTATTCTGGATGCAGGTCCTTTATCAGATACACATTTGTAGATATTTATCTCACTCTGTGGCTTATATTTTCATTCTTTTAATCTTTTGAAGAGCAGACGTTCTTTATGAAATTTAGTTTATGAATTATTTTGTGTTTTCTTTTATAAGTTTTTAAACTATAATTCAGGAGTATATAGTCATGAAGCCTAGACCGGTTAGCCAAATCTAAAAGAAACTGGCTTCTTATCACAACTAACATGTGAACATTGCCACCCTTCTTCTCTCCAGAATGACCATAAGAAAAGTTACTGTGGAGAAACAGAAACCTAGATTTGAGGCAACACGTAAAAACCAAAGGAAAAATAGCAATTCAGTGGTTCGTTGGTAAAAGCAGGAAAGTTGGTGCCCTTCACTGGGCTACTTTGCTCTTCTTACTCTTGCGCTTTTTTTTTTGGAGACGGAGTCTTGCTTTGTTGGCAAGGTTGGAGTGCAGTGGTGTGATCCCAGCTCACTGCAGGCTCTGCCTCCCGGGTTCAAGGGATTCTCCTGCCTCACCCTCCCAAGTAGCTGGAATTAATAGGCGCCGACCACCACACCTGGCTGATTTTTGTATTTTTAGTCGAGATGAGGTTTAACCATGTTGGCCAGGCTGTCCTCGAACTCCTGAGCTCAGGTGATCACCCTCCTTGACCTCCCAAAGTGCTGGGATTACAGGTGAGCCACAATGCTCAGCCTTATTCTTGCTCTTTTTGTTTCTCTTCTTCAGCCCATCCATGTTAGACCCCCAATAGGTTTGAACAAACCACCTATTAATTTCTTTGGAGGTTACCACAGTGCTGATTGTTCCTTGCTAGTGTATAAAAATCCTGTTGAAATTTCTGTTTATTTTGTATTCTGCCACCTTGCCTAAACTTTTTTCGAGACAGTCTTGCTCTGTTGCCCAGGCTGGAGTGCAGTGGCTCACTGCAGCCTTGACCTCCCAGGCTCAAGCATCCTCCCACCTCAGCCTCCTGATTAACTGAGACTAGAGGTGCACACCACCATGCCCATCTAATCTTTTCTTGTAATTTTTTGTAGAGATAAGTTTCGCATGTTGCCTAGGCTGGTGTTGAACTCCTGGGCTTAAGCCATTTGCCCCCGCTTGAGCCCCCAAAGTGCTGGGATTACAGGCATGAGCCACCATGCCTAGCCACTTTAATTTTTATTTCTGTGCTTACATTGGGCTTAATTGGCTCTTCTTTTTCTATTCTGAAGGTTAAGGACAGGCGCAGTGGCTCACGCCTGTATCCCAGCACTTTAAGAGGCTGAGGCAGGCGGATCACTTGAGATTAGGAGTTCCAGACCAGCCTGGCCAACATGGAGAAATCCTTTCTCTACTAAAAATGCAAAAATTAGCCAGGCATGGTGGCGCAGGCCCATAGTCCCAGCTACTCGGGAGGCTGAGGCAGGAGAAGCACTTGAACCCGAGAGGCGGAGGTTGCGGTGACCCGAGTCCTCACCACTGCACTCTAGCCTGGGTTACAGAGCAAGACTCCATCTCAGACACAAACACACACACACACACACACACACACACACACAAACACAACCTGGTGTGGTGGATCCCCTGAGGTCAGGAGTTTGAGACCAGCCTGGCCAACATGGTGTGAAGCCCCGTAGCTACTAAAAATACAAAAATTAGCTGGGTGTGGTGGCAGACGCCTGTAATCCCAGCTACTCAGGAGGCTGAGGCAGGGAATCACTTGAATCCAGGAGGTGGAGGTTGCTGTGAGCCAAGATAGCGTCACTGCACTCTAGCTTGGGTGACAAGAGCAAAACTGTGTCTCAAAAAAAAAAAAAAGATGATTGTTCTATCTTTCTTCTTTTCTAATACATACATTCAGTGCGATAAATTCCTCTTTAAATGCTGCTTTCCCAGCATCTCACAAATTTTTATGTTTTGTTTTCATTTAGTTCCAAATATTTTTAAATTTCTCTTTATATTTCTTCTTTTACTTATATGTTATTTAGAAGTGTCTTGTTTAATCTCCATGTATTTTTGGATTTATGGCCACCTTTCTGGTATTGATTTCTGGTTTAATTTCATTGTGGTCTGAGAAAGCAAGGCACTGTATGATTTCTGTTCTTTAAAATTTGTTAAGGTGTGTTTTATGGTCTAGAATGTGGTCCATCTTGGTTAATGTTCCATGTAAGCTGGAGAATAGAAGAATGTGTCGTTTGCTGTTGTTGGATGAAGTAGTCTACAGATGTCAATTATATACAGTTGATTGATAGTACTGTTCAGCTCAACTGTGTCCTTAACTGATTTTCTCACTAGTGTATCTGTTAATTTCTGGCTGCGATATCAATTTCTATCAGTTTTTGCTTCATGTATTTTGACCGCTTTTGTTAGTCACATACACATTAAGGATTGTTATGTCTTTTTGAAGTATCAACACCTTTATCTTACGTAATTACTCTCTTTAGACCTGATCACTTTCTTTGCTCTTGAGTCTGTTCTGTTCATAATTAATACAGTATTTCTGCTTTTTAAAAATCAGCATTAGCATGGTATATCTTTCTCCATTTCCTTTTTATTTATTTTTATATGGAACACTTCACGAATTTGCGTGTCACCCTTGAACAGGGGCCATACTAATCTTCTCTGTATCATTCTAATTTTTGTATATGTGCTGCTGAAGCGAGCACTGTTTCCTTTAAACTCTACGTGTCTTTATATTTAAAGTAGGTTTCCTCTAGACAACATATAGTTGCTACTTGGTTTTGGATCTGTGACAATCTTTATTTTTTAATTGGGGTATTTAGACCATTGCCATTTAAGGTGACTATTGATATAATTGGGTTAGTATCTACCATGTTTATTACTAATTTTCATTTTTACATTTTTGTTACTGTTTTTGTCATTCACAGCTTTTGTGGTTTTTATTGAGTATTTTATATGATTGCATTTTCTTGTCTTTTTTTTTTTTCCACCCTGTCATCACACTTTAAGTGTTTTATTTCACTCTCTCCTTGATTGCATGTTTTCTGAGGCAAATTCAGATATAATTCTTATACTTGTGCCTGTGTGGGTAAGGTGTTTTCCTCTGGCTTCCTTCATGGATTTTAATCTTTGAGCGTGGAGGTGTACTTCCCTTTCCCCCTCCTTTTTCGCATTTATCTTGCTTGGCGTCCTCTAAGTTTCTTTGATAGCTGGTTTGGCTACTGACATTTGTTCGAGGGGAAGTTTCTGGATGTTATGATTTCAAATATTGCTTCTCCTTTCTTCTCCTCCTTGTATTCCCATTTTAACTATGTTATGCCTTTTGTATGCATCCCAGCATTCATGGATATTTTGTTTGCTTTTGTTTTCCAGTCTTTTTCTCTCTTTCCGTTTCAATTTTGGAAGTTTTTATTGTCATATCCTCAAGCTTAGAGATTTTTTTTCTTGAGTTGTGTCCCACTCTGCTGATGATTCCCTGAAAGATATTCTTCATTTCTGTTTATTTTTGATCTCTCTGGCATTTCTGATTTGCTTTCATTATGCATATGTTCTTGCATGTTGTCTGCCTTTTCCATTAAATTCCTTATCGTATTAGTCATAGATTTAAAAAATTCTTGGTCTCATAATTCCAACATTCCTGCCATGACTGACTTAGTTTCTAATGGCTTTTCACTTTGTTTAAACTGCATTTTTTGCCTTTTGTGTTGTTGTCTCATGTTGAACATTATGTCCTGGCAAAAGGAACTATACTATAAATAGACCTTTAGTAACACACTAGTAAATTGTGGGGAACAAGAGGCATCCTATACTTCTATAATTTTCAGTCTTTAGGTGAACCTCCCCTGGAATGTGAACTGCATAGGGGCTTCTTAGTTATTTTTTTCTCCTGCAAGTGGAACAGGATGATGGTTAGAGTCGCCTGAAGTTGTACATTTCCCTTCCCTAGGTTAGTTAGGTTCTGACAAAAACCTCCACAGGTTAGAATCTCGTTAAATAGTTTCTCCTGAAAGCAGGCCTTGTTAGGAAAAACAAAGCTCTGGTTATTTCAAAATGGTTCCTTTTCCCCCTTTATTGGAGGGATCTCTGGGGGACTCTTTCTCCGGTATTCACTCTGCGGGCCTGCTAGAGGTCCTAGAGGTAAAATTCACAAAAGTGTGAGAGTCCCCCAAGACCGGGTCCCCCTGGAGGTTTTCTTTTTCATCCTTGTCCACAGTGTGCCTCTAGCAGTTTATCAATTAAAATAGTTTAGGTTTTCTTTCCCTGGTACTGGTTCCTGCAGAGGTTTCAGCTGCTGGGTTTGCTTAGGTAAGTTGTAAGTCTCTCTGTGCATTGATTTGTCTTTCTGGTTTTTTTTTGTTTTGTTTTCTTAATTATACTTTAAGTTCTAGGGTACATGTGCACAACGTGCAGGTTTGTTACATAGGTATACATGTGCCAATGTGCCATGTTTTTTTTTTTTTTTTGAGACTGAGTTTCACTCCTCTTGCCCAGGCTGGAGAGCAATGGCCCGATCTCGACTCACTGCAACCTCCGCTTCCCGGGTTCAAGTGATTCTCCTGCCTCAGCTTTCCAAGTAGCTGGGATTACAGGCATGTGCCACCACACCCAGCTAATTTTTTTTGAGACGGAATCTCGCTCTGTCACCCAGGCTGGAGTGCAGTGGCGTGATCTCAGCTCACTGCAGGCTCCACCTCCCAGGTTCACACCATTTTCCTGCCTTAGCCTCCCGAGTATCTGGGACTATAGGCACCTTCCACCACGCCCGGCTAATTTTTTTGTATTTTTAGTAGAGATGGGGTTTCACCTTATTGGCCAGGATGGTCTCGATCTCCTGACCTTGTGATCTGCCTGCCTCTGCCTCCCAAAGTGCTGGAATTACAGGTATGAGCCCCAATTTTTTGTTTAGCAGTTTGCCCTATGACCTCTCCATTCACTAATGTAAGAGTTGATGATTTTCAGTTTGTTGAGATTTGTATTTGTTTTAGGGTAGAGCAAAGACTTCTCTCTCCTCCTCATATGCTCAATGAGTAACCAGAATTCCTAGTATTGGCATTTAATGATATAAACTTCCCTCTTAAGTAGGGCTTTATGAATTTTGATATGTCGTGTTTTCATTTTTATTTAGTTTAAAAAAATGCTTTGTGGTTTTCCTTTTCTTCTTTGACCTATGAGTTACTTAAAAGTGTGTTATTTAGTTTAGAAATATTTGGATATTCACTTTGTTACTGATTTCTAATTTAATATTTTTATATTATATCATTCCTTTTAAGTTTATTGATGCAGAACATGGATTATCTTGTTAAATATTCTGTGTGGCTTTTTTTTTTGGGAGATGGAGTCTCCCTCTGTCCCCAGGCTGGAGTGCAGTGGCGTGATCTCAGCTCACTGCACCCTCCGCCTCCCGGGTTCAAGTGATTCTCCTGTCTCAGCCTCCCGAGTAGCTGGGACTCACCCAGCTAATTTCTGTATTTTTAGTAGAGGCAGGGTTTCACTGTGTTGGTCAGGATGGTCTCGATCTCTTGACCTCATGATCCGCCCCCTCAACCTCCCAAAGTGCTGGGATTACAGGCGTGAGCCATTGCGCCTGGCTCTGTGTGTTTTTTAAAAGAATGAATGTGTATTCATTTGTAGTTGTGTGGAGTTTTTCTGTAAATGTCCATTAGGTCAAGTTGATTTATATTAAGTTGTCTATATCTTTACTTGTTTTTTGCCTGTTTGTTCTGTCAATTATTGTGAGCAGGTGCAGAAACAATTAGGATTTTTGTATCTTCTTGATGAGTACGCCACTGTATTTTGTTAATATTCTTTGTTGTGAAATCTACTGGCTGATATTAATATAGTGAATTTAGCTTTCTTTTGATTAGCTTTAGCTTGATGTTTCTTTTCCCATGCTTATACTTTCTTTGTGCCTTTATATTTAAAATAGATTTCTTTTTTCTTTCTTTTCTTTCTTTTTTCTTTTTTTTTTTTTTTTGAGATAGAGTCTCACTCTGTCACCCAGGCTGGAGTGCAGTAACATGATCTCAGCTCACTGCAACCTCTGCCTCCCAGGTTCAAGTGATTCTCCTGCCTGAGACTTCCAAGTAGCTGGGATTGCAGGTGTGTACCACCACGCGTGGCTAACTTTTGTATTCTTAGTAGAGATGAGGTTTCACCATGTTGGCCAGGCTGGTCCTGAACTCCTGGCCTCAAGTGATCCACCTGTCTCGGCCTCCTAAAGTGCTGGGATTCCAGGCGCAAGCCACCACGCCTGGCCTGAAGTTAAATTAACTTAAAATAGGCTTCTTTTTTATTTGTTTGCTTGCTTGCTTGTTTTGAGGGGGTTTCACTCTTGTTGCCCAGGCTGGAGTGCAATGGCATGATTTTGGCTCACCGCAACCTCTGCCTCCTGGGTTTAAGGGATTCTCCTGCCTCAGCCTCCCTAGTAGCTGGGATTACAGGTGTGAGCCACTGCACTGAGCTAAAATAGGTTTCTTTAAAGCAGCGTATAGTCATGTTTTGAGTTTATTCATTCATTGTTGCAATCTTTGCTTTTTAATTGGGATGTTTAGAGAATTTACATATAATACGATTCTGAGTGGTTGTATTTTACTATAATACTGTTGTTGTTGTTGTTGTTGTTGTTGTTATTATTATTATTGAGACAGGGTCTTCATCTGTCTCCCAGGCTGGAGTACAGTGGCTTGATCTCAACTCATGGCAACCTCTGACTCCTGGGTTCAAGCAATTCTCCCACCTCAGTCTCCTGATTAGCTGAGACTACAGGTGCATACAACCACATGTGGCTAAGTTTTGTATTTTTTGGTAGAGATGGGGTTTTACCATATTGGCCAGGCTGGTCTCGAATTCCTGACCTTGGTTGATCTGCCTGCCTTGGCCTCCAGAAGTTCTGGGATTACAGTGTGAGCCACCGCACCTGGCCTCTGGGTAGTTGTATTTTAATCTAACATTTGCTAATCCTTTTCTTTTTGCCCATCATTTCTCTTTCCTTCTCTCTCTCTCTTTCTCTTTCTCTGCTGTATGTTTGATTGAACCTTTTTTGTGATTCAGTTTTGCCTGATTTGCAATAATTTTTTGTTCCATTGCATTGTTTTAGAGACTACAGTATAGCATCATTAGTCTATCAGAGTTTACCTTCAAGCAGAATTATACTAGTTTACATATAGTGTAAGAACCTTGTAGCTATATACTTCTACCCTTTTGGTTTCGTGCTATTTTTATCACTTTTTTTTTTTTTAAACATATGTTACAAAACTCACAATTTATTGTTACTCCTTTTGCTCTACATCAGCTATCTTATAAAGAGTTTAAAATAGGCCAGGCGCGGGGGCTCATGCCTGTCCTCCCAAGCACTTTGGGAGGCCGAAGCGGGTGGATCACGAGATCAAGAGATCAAGACCATCCTGCCCAGCATGGTGAAACCCTGTCTCTACTAAAAATACAAAAATTAGCTGGGCATGGTGGCATGTGCCTGTAGTCCCAGCTACTGGGAAGGCTGAGGCAGGAGAATCGTTTGAACCCAGGAGGTGGAGGTTGCAGTGAGCCAGGATCGCAGCACTGCACTGCAGCCTGGCAACAGAGCGAGACTCGTCTCAAAAAAAAAAAAAAAAAGTTATGAACAATTCTTTATTATTTATCATTTTTACTATATTTGTCTGTTACTCCTTCCTTATCCCTTTTCACAGTTTCAATTACCTTCAGTCAA